TATAAATAATAGTGCCATTGTAAAAGCAAATAATAAGATAAAAAAAAAGTAACAGTAGTATTAAAAGAAAAATAATAAAAAAATAATTAGTAAAATTGAAATGCTCAAAAAGAAATATTTTAATTAAAAAACTTACTTTTTTAAGTATGAGCTGTTTAGGAAAGGATAATCGCTATTATAGAATATAGCCCAAAGTTATCAAGAAAAAAACCGGTGCTAAAAACAAAAAAAAAGCTTATTAATAAGAGAAAACTTTAGTCAAATCAATCTTACATGTCTTAACTTATTTCTAATAATATTAACTTTGAACTGATAAAGTGACTGATTAGCTGTTTTCCAGTTTAATACTATATAATAATATTAACTTTGAATTAATAAAATAACTGATTAGCTATTTCCAGTCCAATATTATATAATAATATTAATTGATTATTAATAAAACTTTAATATTTTTATTATTAAATATTAAAATAATATATTTAAAGTTTTATTTAAATTAAATAATTATTTATTAAATTATAATAAAAAATATAAGTTCAATTATTTTAATTAAATATATATACTATATATAAATTCAATAAAAAAAAATAAAAAAATTTGATAAAAAAAAAACTTTTTCCACTGATCTTTTTGCCAATTCAAAAAACAGATATTCTCAAAAGATTATGTCTTTATAATAATAAAGTCTATACATTCTCCTTAACAATACTGGTTTTCTAACCAGCAGAACAAGCAGAAGCTATCACTTGTTTTATTTTTTCTTTTCAAAACACTCTTTTTGTTTATTTTTGTGACTAAATATAAGAAACCTACCTAAAAAGTCCATGGCAAAAACATCTTTATAGGAAGAAAACTGATAAAAAAAAATATTCTCCAAAACTCTCAAAAAATTCAAGGATCTAGAAAAACAAGAATAAAGAAGTTTTCAGTCTTTTTATAATCTCTTTAACTTCCTACTTCTTTTTTTTTAAGCATGCTTCCTTTTTTCTTGATTTTTCTGAGGAATTTTGCCTATTTTAATTTGATCTTGAATTTTTGATTACATCAGATTTCCTAAAAAATAATTGGTCAAGGCCACAGATTGATTAATCATGTCAGCTACAGAAAAAGTAAACAAGACATGTACTCCTTATGTGTTTTAGTTGCACAACACCAAACTAATAATGTGATTGGTTTCTGAAAGAGTTGAACTGTTTTTAGTTAAAGGAGTAATATAGAAGTACTAGGTAAAGTTGAAATTATGAGTAGAAGAGAAGTAATTCTTTTTTGTTCCTATTCTTTTATTTTCTTTTTTTTCTTCTCTATTCTTTCTTGAGGACAGAAAGTAGTAATAAGGTTTAAGTCCTATTCCAATCTAATAATAAGTTAAAGTATTAATACAGAAGATATGGCTTGAGAGAGAAATTAATAATAGAAAACCAACATTCTTTCTAATTAGAAATCTTCAAGCATAAAGTCTCAAGAAATACTCTTTTGGAAGTATCCTTAAACATTTTTGGACATCAACTACTCCAATGGAAATTAAACAGTTTGTTTGGCCACAAGTGATGAGAAGTGAGGAATTATAAGATGCTTGGATTTTGAAGTTCACAGAAATAACCTTTTCAATAATAATTAGAATAGATGATAGTTTTTTTTCTTTTCTTTTGTCCATAAAATTCATTTTTTGTTTTTTTTTTTTTCTTTTGCATAGTTATTACAAGAGGAGAGTGACACAATTTGGGTTTATAGTTATAACTGTAGAGGTGGTCTATAGGTTTTGATTTTATTGAAAGTTTGGGATCTTAATTCTATCATTTAGAGGAACAACATATTACCTCCATAAATCACATCTAGAGACTTTGGCTATCGACAGGTAAGTTAAATCGGAGAAATTTATACTTTGTATGCATTCTCAACTTGTAATGGTTTTTTATGATTTAATAAATAAACAACACTAACTTGATTGTGGAATTAAAAAAAAAGAATAATAAAATTTGATAAAATAATAAAATTTTTAATTTTACTAAATAAAATATTAAGCTTTAACAAATTAAAATTTAATATTTTTTTTTTTTTTAAAAATTGGCTAAGGGCATTAAATGTGAGATATTTATTAAACATAAGTTTTCGTCATTACATCAAACATCTTTACAAAGTAGGCTATTGCTATCCTAAATACAAATTAATGTTACCTGATAATCATTATTTCCAGTAACCCCGGTTTTCCTCTAGACCAATTGTAACATACCCAGCTATACAAAATTTTAAACATCAAGTAGATGATCCATATGCCAGGTGGGACTTATATAGGAGTGGAAATCCTATTATTAGTTTAAACCATCTTCCTACTAGATTCTGTCGCAATTGCATTTGTCATGGGTAAGGCACATTATGAAATATTATTATAGAGATTAACCCCAGTATTCCAGTCACTGTTATCATCAATCCTCGGGATGTACCACTAACATGATGTAGTATTACCGTTTTTATCACCTGTAGAACTGGCATCCTTGCTTGGATTCCGATTTAATCTTGTAGGTTCTCACTAGATGCACTTGGCTTAACGATTTTTGTCTAGTATTTTCACTGCCTGTGGCTGATACCTTGCCTTTTGGTTATATGATTAAGTTCCATAGAATGCCACTATTGGAATAGATCTACAAGCTCCAAATTGGAATAGAGTGGCTTAGAATTAATATCTTTTTTAGAATTGTGTGATAGAGTCTGCCATCACCAGTTTTTAAATTAGAGTGGGCTTTTACCGGAGTTAGACCAGAAGTCTTTCCTTGTGCAATCTTCCGTGCTTTGACCTGTTTTTAGCCCACGATCATCGGGAAGATCAGAGGTCCCATCTTCATGCAGCCTAACTAAATTTGGAAGTAGATTATTGGCTAATTGGGTATAACATGAATTAAAAGCCGGTCAACCAATTATGAGAGTGATAAATTTTTTGTAACCAGGTGGTGTTGAACCTTAAACCTTCTCCTGATAACCTATGGAGCACTACCACTATACTATAAACCCATAGATCAATTAAATTTTAATATTTTTTTTTTTTTTAATTGGCTAAGAGCATTAGATATGTGACATTTATTAAACATTTGTTTGTAGTCAGTACATCAAACATCTTTACAAAGTAGGCTATTGTTATCCTAAATACAAATTAATGCTACCTGATGATTACTGTTTCCAATGCTCACGGTTTTCCTCTAGACCAATTATAATATATCTGACTATACGAAATTTTAAACATCAAATAGATGATCCATATGCCAAATGGAACTTACATAGGAGGTGGAAATCCTACTACTAGTTTTAAACTACCTTCCTATTAGGTTCTGTTGCGACTGCATCTGTTGTGGATAAGGCACATTATGAAATATTATTATAGAGATTAACTCCAGTATTCCAGTCACTGTTATCACTGATCCTCAGGATGTATTACTAGCGTAATGTAGTACTACCATTTTCATCACCTGTGGAACTGGCATCCTTGCTTGGATTCCAATTTAATCTTGTAGGTTCTCACTAGATGCATTTGACTTAATGATTTTTGTCTAGTATTCTCACCACTTGTGGCTGATACCTTGCCCTTCAGTCATATGATTAAGTTCTATAGAACGCCACCATTGGAATAGATCTACAAGCTTCAGATTGGAATAGAACAGCTTAGAATTAACCTTTTTTTTGGAATTGTGTGATGGAGTTTGCCATCATCAGTTTTGGGTTAGAATAGGCTTAATTAAAATTTAATATTATATTGTAATAATAAAATAAAAATTTAATATTTAATATAAAATTCTTATAACAAAAAATTTTATATTTAAGAATTAAAGCTTTTTAAAAATTTTTTTATTAAACAATTTTTAAATAATTTTATAATTATTAAAGTATTATTTAATTAGTTTTAATTATATTTTAATAAAAAATAAATAATTTTTATTATATTAATTACAATATTTGATTGCTTAGCAATTTTAAAGTAATTAATATTATAAGAACTGTTTTGATTTTATAATTATAAAATGTATAAGCTCACTAAAATTATTTTATTTCAATTTAATTATAAAAAAAAAACAAAAAATTTATTAATAAAAAATTAATAAAATAATAATAATAGATAAAAACAATTTTTTATTAAAAAATTAAGAAATAAATAAATATCAAAAAAATATTTATTATAAAAAGATATAAGAAGTCAAGTGAATTGTAATTGTCCAAAAGAGTAAAATAATTATTCTTAAATACAGTTTTGAGTTATATAATCAATATTTATTTGTGCATACAAATTTGACTAGAATAAAAATTACCAAAAATTATATTAAGTAATTGATTTTAGAAATTTTAAGTAATTATGTTCTTCTGATTATTATATATCTTAAATAAATAATAAATATAATAAAAAATTTAAATTATTTAATATTTACAAATCAATTACATTCTTTTAAGAAAATATAACTTATTTTTTACAATATACAATATAATTGTTTTTGCATAATGTTTATTATTAATATAAAGCTTATAACATTATATATTAACAAAGTTTCTATAATTAAGCTTAAATTATATAATATATAGCCTAAAAAACATTTTCAACAAGTATTGTCGCGCAGCATTCAGTTATTGTCAGTCATCTTATAAAATGTTTGAATGAGAATTTTGCAATCATTAATAACTAATAACAGTTGGACAATTATTATTGAAGACTATGGAGGTTAATACGATAAAATTATTAATTAAAGAAAATGAACGGCTATTACTTTTATTTCTTCTAAAATAATTCGGGCTATCTAAGAAAAATGTTTTTTTTTTTGTATGCTTAGAAAGAAGCATGTTGAGATGAAAAATGAAAAATGAAAAGTTATGGGTTAAGGGATACGGATAGTTGAACATAATTTTTAGGCTACTCTGATATCAAATAATATTTTCGGATTTTTTGTCCGAAAAATTATATTCAGCCTTCAAAGGTGATTGCCCAGATACGAAAGTGCTTTATGTAATAAAGAATGTATAATGTTCTAGCTTTTAATTGTTTCTCCTTGGCCCTTTAGTCGATCCAAAACGTTCTCAAACCCTTGCCTTCCTTTTGTTGCATTGTCTCCAAATCTTTGGACAAAGAAGTCTTCTATGAAGCTCGCAAATTGAGAGATTGATTCACCACATTTAATGCTTGCCTCCTGCTTGAATAAAGTCCTAAATATAGACAACAATAAATTGAAGTTATTATCTTAACTTAATTATAAATCCAGCATTGGATATGTCAAGACTTACTTAGATGGGTCTGAAGGATCTTCTTTGTAAACAACGGTTTCCGACACATTAACCAAATGATTTACCGACAAGTTACAACTTGTCATCTTTAACACTTTATTTTTTGGGTCAATTTCGCTTATTTCTCTGGCATAGGTCACAGTAGAACCGCCAAATAATTTACTTAATAGTTTTGGTATGTTTTGTTGACATGTTATTAACCTTTCTGTTCGAAGTATTCCTGTTTCTGGGTCAACATGTCGGTCTAGAACATCAATAGCGATAACGTGCGGACATTTATCATTAGGATATTTTCTCCAGCTTGCAGCAGAAACATGAGACCAGGAGTAAAAAAAGGTATGCGAAGCTTCAAAAAATTTCATTTTGACTTTATCTTTGCGAAAGAGTTTGAGTTCAGATCCAATCTTCAAACTGATTAATAGTTTACCGATTTATATACTGATTAGAGTCATAAGATCTAGATCTTTTTTTAATTAGTTTTTGTTACCAATCATATGAATATTTAAACGTTTATATACTAATACAAAGATTGAGATGATCTTCGCAGGTGCGAATATCAATATTAACAATGAAAATATAAAAAATTCAGCCAAATTGACAAGTTTGTGCATTTTCGGAAATTCCTTAAGAACCAAACGCAGAAATTCTCGTTCACGTGATTTCCACCAATGAATACAAAATTCTATTATATAATAATTTATTATAAAATTATATACGTATATACTGTATAAATTATATTTCAAATTTTTTTATTTAATAAAAAACATAATGATAATATTAATGATTTTTAATTATTATTTTTTTTAAGTACTGTAGGTAAACATCATTTCTTTATTATTATAAAAATTTTAAAATAATTTTATATATAGAAAGTGACAACATTTCTCACATAACCAATTGATAATGATTTTTAATTATTTATTTTATTAAAATTAATTATAATAATTATTTTTTTTTATAATAGAATGTATTAAATGCAGGTTTTTATTGAAATTATATTAATTTTGATATATTAAACATCCTCTATTGCTATTACAATAATTAAATACTAGCCTAAGGATTCTAACAATTTGATTTGATTCTTGATTCTCAAGTTTATATTAAATTTACTATATGAATTATAACCTATTATCATTTTTAATAATATTTCAAACCTTATACAAGTCTATGTGAATTTGTTTGATTTCAATTTTCAGAATCATATACTAATCTATTTACTTTTATACCTGGTAACATGTTATTTATCTTTAAGATATATTATGTTATTTTTAAAAGGACTTATTTAAAAGATAAAAATTCTATTATTAGTTTTAAATTATCTAATTTATCAGTTTAATTTTGTGTAAAAGCAATAAACTACCACTAACTATTTCTATAAATTATTTATTACATTATATTTTTTTATTTATATAACTAATATAGCAGAAAGACCTTTATATAATATATATATATATATATATATAATAAGTTATCAAAATTATACACATAAGATATTAATATCAGTACAGTACTTGTTTCAAGATTTCTTATTTGGTAATTGATAAATAAAGATTATAACAAATTGAATCAGATCAGATTTTAGTTAAAGTTAATTCATTTCATTTTTAGCTATATAATTCAAATTCGAATCAGATATGATATAGCTTGATTCAATTTGATTTGAATTTGGTTCAAATCTAATTTTACTTGATTTGATTTGATTTGATTATTTTGTCAATAGTGATTTTTATTATAACATATTTACTTTAGTTTAATTTAAAAGGCTGTTAATTGAAAATTTTTTATTTTTAAATATAAATTAAAATATCTGATTTATCCATGATCAGTTATTGTCTTCTATATTTATATATGTTCCTTTATAATTAGTATCATTTTTTTCACTATTTTTTTTATCAAATTTTCAAGAGCTTGCAAAGCATAGGAATTTGTCGATAATTAATTATATCAGTAATCAACATAATATTTTTCTTCTTTTCCTTCCTTTCATTTTTTTACAGCTGTTATTGTTTTTTTAACTAAATTTTGTTATAAATTTATTAATAAAATTTTAGGTTAAACTTTTTATCTAACAAAAAATAGTAATTAGTTAACTAGATTTTGATAAATTTTATTGTCTTAGACATATTATATATATTTTAGAGTCATAGGAATAAGCTGGTATTATAAAGAATTTTTTATTTAAAATTTTTTGTTAATAAAATTGTTAACTTAAAATTAATTTATTATTGAATTCTAACTTAATAGTTACATATATCATGACTTGGTATATTTTAATAAATTATAGTATAAACAAATATTATTTTATTTATTTATAGTAAAAATTGTATTTTTTTTAATAATGAAAATCCAAGATATATCAATATAAAAAAATAGTTATTTTTTATATAATAATTAAAAAAAGTATTAGACTTTAAAAAAATTTTTATAAGTGATTTATTACATTAGTAAGCCACTATATATAATAGATATTATTTTTTATATAATGTATATCTTATTAAAACTCTTTCTTGATCACATTTGTTTTGTTAAAAATTTTTCTTTTATGGTAATTTTAAGCAAAAAAAAATATTTATACTCTTTATTGCAAGAGAGTTTCAGCTCAAGAACTCAAGAACCTTCAAGACAACTGGTGCAGTGGGATGAAATCTCTGGTCAAAGTTTATTCAAGTTTGAGAGTCTTGCTTATCCTTTGGTTGCATGAGAAAAGACCTGTGGTAATTCTCTTGCATTTCTTCTTACTCTTATTATATCATAAAAATCATTTACATTATTATTATTATACTTGCTAAATCATATACTTTTCAAAATACACACTTAAACAGAGTTAATAAGTCTATTGCTTGTTTCAAATTAATTCTCAAACATAATATTTTTGTAGTAATATTTGCTGTACCATCTCAAAAGTTCAAAAATTTTTCAAATAAAAAACTGAAATCAGTTTACCCCTTCCAGATAATTAGTGCTCTCCAATTATTCAATCAAATTTTGTATAAAAATCAAAACAAAAACTATGTCAACTCAAACCAGTTTTGTGCCATAATAACAACTTCAATAACAAACAACATTATATGTACTTTACTATCTATGGTAACTGAAGAGCTGAAGAGATGGAACAATAAGCCTATTCATGGGTTCTCTCAAAAAAATAATTGATTTTCTATTTATAGATCTTATAGTTTATTTGACAAAGTTTTAGTTTTAATTAGTTTTAATTTTTCTTCTTAATTTTTTTATTCAAAAAAAAGATTTCACTAAACAACTTTTTGAGTAGGTAAGCATAGCCGCTACTTCCATATTTGACATTTTAATATTGCTTTTGAAATTTTTTATGATATTAGTTAAATATGATACAAGTAGGCAAGTTAATATTTAACTTGTTATATACAATACACCCAAGAGATGTTGTTTCTTTCACAATGTATACCTTGATATATACAAATTAAATAAAGAGATGATGTTTACCTACTGGAATAACCCCCCAAAAATAATGTATATCTTATTATATATAAATTAAATAAAGAAATGATATTTACTTATAGAAAAACTCCTTTCAAAAAAAAACAATAATTAATTATTTTTTAAAAAAAAACTTTTTTTTACTTTTTTTTCTATACTTAAAAAATTTTTTTTATATTTTCTTTTTCTTTTCTATTATTTCACTCTTTTTATATCTTTTTTTTTCTTTTCTTTCTATAAATTTTTCTTTTAATATATTTTATTTATTTTTTTATTTTTTATTTTTTTATCAAATTAAATTTTTTTTTCTTTTAAAGTTTTTTTTCTTTAAATCTTTCTTTTTTTTAAACTATTATCTTTTATTTTATCACTTTTTTAATTAATTAATTTTCTTTTTTTAAGAATTATATTAAAAAGTAATAACTTTTCTCAAGTTTTTTTTTTTCCATGATTTTTTTTAAAAAAAACAAATAATTTATTCTTTTTAAAAAATTGATATAGTTATTATTATCAATTTTATATTGTTTACTTGTTAATAATTAAATTAAATATATCTAAGAATAGAATTTTAAATCAAGTAATAAAATAGTATTAACTTTATATTAATTTTTAATAAATTTAATATATGATTTGTAATATACTATATTAAATTTATAGTAAATCCAGTATTAACTTAATATTGAAATAATATTATTAAGAATTCTATTTAAGAAATCACTATATAATTATTATTATTTAAACTTTTAAGAAGTTATATATTATAGTATCTAATTGAATAATAATTAATACTAATATAAAAATTTACAAGTGTTATATTGGTAATTTGAATATCTAATAGAATAATATGATAATTAAAGATTTTAGTTATCTTATAAACAAAATTGATAATGATAATAAAAGTTCCTTATTTATTCTTTAACAATATAAATTAATTTTTTTTTTTAATTTTTTTTTTTAAAGTAGGAAACTCTTGTTACTTTATTAAATTATAAATTTGAAAAATTATTATATAAAAAAAGTAACAACATCTCTTGTGACTATTGGTCACCAAATTTAATACTAACTTGCCTATTTATTAACTATTCAAGCAATAGAGAAAAAAAATATTAAAGCTTTATATTAAATCTTAAATAATGTCTAGTAAAGGGTTAAAATAATTTGTGTTATATTCAGATTGGAGGTAATAAAGATATAAAAAGGGATTAGATATTTTTATACATAAAGGTGCTATAGCTACTAAGGTTTTTAATGGTACTATTTTGGTATCAAGTTGGTATTGGATTTACTATAAGTTTAATATAGTGGGTCACAACCTATATATTAATTTTATTATAAGTTGGTATCAAGTCAATACCATTTTGATACTCAGTTTAAAACTCTAGCAGCTACTTTATACAAGTTGGTCTTCAAGTCACAAAGAGAATTTGACATATCCATTTTTCAAATGTGACAGAAGTGTCCAATGAATAGAGTATATTGAATATTCTTATAAATATTTGTACCTGACCCAGCACATGAACCTATATTATCAAAAAGTAATCAAGAGACTTGCATTGTTATTACTAGCTTTGCTTGCAGGGTAACTAGAATTACTAATCATTACATATTACTCTATTAGATTTTTTAACCATTAGTATAACATTTGCAGGCCTCTCAATTTCTACTTGTAGGTTTTTTGATTTCTTTAAATAGACTTTTTGATTTTTTTAAATAGGCTTTTTAGTTTCTTTAAATAAGCTTTTCATTTTTTTTAAATAGGCTTTTTAGTTTCTATAAATAGTCTCGCTTCTACCTGTAAGTCTCTTAGTTTCTATCCAAAGGCTTTTTAGTTTCTATTCAAAGGCTTCTTAATTTCTGTCCAAAGGTCTCTTAGTTTCTACTAGTAGACCTTGTGATTTCTATATTG